CTTTCCACAGGGGTTGCACCATTTTACACTCCCACCAACAGTGAATCAGGGTTCCAGTTTCTCCACAACCTCGCCAGCATTTGTTGCTTGCTGTTCTGCTAAATTTTACTATTTTGAGTGGGGTGAGATGATATCTCATAGTTGTTTTACTTTCGGAGTTTTGAAATAAGAAAAATATTACACAGCAATGATAAAGTAACACTGTTGCTGTTTATGTCCTTATAGTTCATTTTGAGTTTGTTCCAATTCACACTTACCTAATTTACAACGGAATGAAACCTTAGCCAATCCTGTGCAGTCCTCATTATCATTGTTATGCCCAAGCTCATTTTTGCAGTCATTGTGTGAAATCTATCTCATTGTGGGTTGTAATCTCCTTTGTAGGACACTACTTTTCAAAATATTTGCCCTTCTCTTGTTTTGTTATTGTTATTATATGTCATCAAGTTGCTTACAACTCGTAGCAAACCTATGCACAACAGCTCTGAACCCTGCTCTATCTCATTACCCCAAGTCATTAACTCAATCCAACTCATCCAGAGTCTTCCTCTTCCCCCCTCCACCCTGCCAAGCATGATGTCCTTCTCCAAGGATTTGTCCCTCTTAGAAACATGCCAAAAGTGTGTGACAGAAATTCAAAATCCTTGTTTCCAAGGAGCAGCCTGGTTTCACCCTCTCCAGGACAGACCTATTTGTTCTCCTAGTAGTCCATGGTATGTTCAACACTCTTCTCTAGCACTATAACTCCATCATCCTATTAATTGTTCAGCTTTCTGATGCATAGGAAGTGAAAGACCATGGCTTGGATTAGGCTCTTGATTAAAATAGTTGCTCTTCAGTTCTCTGGAGTTTCCTAACATCAGATTTGACCTAGCTACTGGTACCAAGAGTTTTCATCGTGAAACAAAGCAAGCTATTAACAATCTCACTCTCTTCTTTGTCTATCATGATGCTGCCAATTGGGCTAGTGCTTATAATCTTTGTTTTCTTGATTTTGTGCTTCAATCCACACTGAAGGCTGTAGTCATTGACCTTCTGCCTCAGGTCCTCCTCAGTTTTCAGTAAGCAATGTTGCGTCATCTACATAATGCAGGTTGTTGATGAGT